CCACTTCTTGTTCTGATTGTTCTATGTGGTTGGAACTAGGAGCTAGCTCACACCTCACATGGAGCTCGCAGCCGATAGTCTCAGCATTTCAATTATTTTTTTGTGGTAAATATTTGGTCAGTAAAAATAAGTCTCACTTAAACGCTTTTGAGTGATAAGTTTTTATTTCAATTAGAAAGTAATACTGTAAGACAGTTAATGATAGGGCCTAGAGCCATTGCCTTGCACACATGTTTTCTTATCAGAAATAGTTGGGAATAACACTAAATAAAAATTGCTGTCTTCTTTTCTTACTGTCTCCTAATCTATTGTGTGAAAAATAGTTCTTATTATCATAGTTTTGGTTTTGAATAATAATAAAAGTCGTGTTTGTGACTAATTGTTTGTGGGCCAACTTACACTCACCAGGAGAGTAAACACCTTTTTCGTTTGTCAATAACTCAATATGTAATTTAAACAGTCTTTCTGAACGTTGCATTTAACTTAGCCTATTTTAAATAAATAAATACATTGATTTTGTGTAAAACACCATGGTAAAACACAGAACGATTAAAAAAACAGAAACACACTCTACACAACACTCCAAAAATAATTTGCTGCCTCAGTCTACATTGAAGAGGACTTGCTGTAGCTTCTTCCAACTGCCCGCAGTTTCTTCCTAACCCTCGGGGAAGTCCACTTTGAATTGCCCCCTGAAAGAGGTTTTAAGTCCTTCGATGAAACACCCTCGTCCACGTCATCGGCTTCTGTTTTGATCTCCATTTTCTGCAGATGAAGACAGAGAGTAAGGAAACGTTATTGTAATGGTTGATGGCCTTAATCCTTCAACCGCCTTAAAACGTGTATTACCTGGACTACCAAGCGCAGGAGCATGTGCTGCGTCTCCAGAGCTGTAGTTATCTCCTTCAGCTTCTGTTTTGTTTTCATTAGTTCTTCACTAAAAATGTCCTCTGGGCCGTCCGTGATTGAATCCATTTCTAGCAGCCATACAGAAATAATGCCATTTATACAATTGCTTTTTAAAACCAAAACACACACAAAAAATACACATTTATTATCCGAGCAGACTGAAGGAACGCACCATCATCGTTGAAGGGGTTGCAGAACCATTTCCGGAACAGGGTATCAATAATACCTATCCTGCTGCATTCATTGTTAGGATACTCAATTAACTCCATCTTATCAACTTTCTCTAGCATAAAGTGGGGCAGTTTCCTTTCTAGTTCTGTGTGAAGCACGACCTGTGAGGAAAGTTCAAGGGAAGAGAAAAAAGTTAAGTTGTTTCTCTCTAGATATCACTAACAGATGGTCTCGTCGACTCGCGGGATTAGTTCTTGTACCTGCATGGCGAGTCGCTTGAGCTGGGCGTTCCTGCGCACACTCTCGATGTCACCGACTGCCAAACCGATGAGCAGGTTCATGAGGAGGATGGGCATGATGACCATGAACATGCCCAACACCAGGAACGTGGTGAGCGGCAGCGGCAGCCAGCGCTGCTCCGCGTCCTGGATCAGGTTGAAGGGTTGCACGTACGTCCCCAGGAAGTCGATCTCCCCCAGCATCATAGAGAAGATGCGGATGAGCGACATGGGCACGTTGTTGAACGACAGGTGGTTCCCCTGCACACAGAAAAAAAATGAGACATTTCAAAGGTTGTTTTTTTTTTCTGGGACAACATTCAATTGTATTGTGCTGTTGAGTCGGCAATTACCCGAGAAAGGAGGATGTAGAAAGCCAGGCCGAAAGCTATGATAAGTATGGAGAATATGAGCAGGACTTTGATGAGGGTCTGGAGAATCTCCAAAAACATGACGACGTAAATCCCCACTCGGTCAAACCTGCAACGTCAGATGTCTCATTACGAGGTCTGCGCCAGTAATCCATTC